CATTTGCTGTTATGTTAAACTTATATTAAAGTTTTTCTTCATTACCCATTCAAGCCGTCTCCAGCCATTATAAGGATCATGAATAAAAGAACATAACTTTAAATATCCAAAGAAGGAACATCGTGAAACGAATGAACTTTAAATATCCAACATCAGGTTATCTGAGGTTAAAATAGCTTCAGATATCCAATTGAAGAATATTAAGGACATCGTGAGATAAAAGAACGTACATAAAATAACCATCATAGAACATCGTAAGATAAAAGAACGTACATAAAATGATCATCATAGGACATCGTGAGATAAAAGAACGAACATAAAATATCCATCATAGAACATCGTGAGATAAAAGAACGAACATAAAATATCCATCATAGAACATCGTGAGATAAAAAACGTGTATCAAATAACCATTATAGGACACCATGAGTTAAAAAAAGTGTATCAAATAACCATCATAGAGACATCGTGAGGGAAAAAAAAGGTGTATCTAATAACCATCATAGGAACATCGTGAGATAAAAAACGTGTCTCAAATAACCATCACAGGACATCATGAGTTAAAAGAATGTAACTTCCAATGTCCAACACCAGATGACCGAGAGTTAAAAGAGCGTTAATTTAAACATCAACATCAGAGATTTACTTGAAATATTAAACATCAGGTTTCGGTGATATAAAATAATTCATTCAAGTATCCAGCGCCAGGTCACTATGGCTTAAAAAGGCATTTCTTTTAACATCCAACCTAAACTATTGCGAGGAACAATGAGTGTTAAGGTTAATATTCAACATCAAATGATCGTGAAATAAAAATATTATTTTCTTTAAATATATATGCATACAATTTCTCATACTTAGGAATATGATTTTAACGTGTTGGAACATTCTATTACAAGTGTATGAATGAAATTATATGTAAAATATAGTGGTTACAGATAAGCTACCCACTATAATTTCCATGTAATGTTTTTCATATTTTGGAAGCTGATGCAGGGTAAACTTGGCAGAATAATAAGGTATATTTTTGTGCACATTACAGACTTCAAGCTAGTGAACAGTCCTTAACTTACACAACAGGCAATAATCATGCTACCTTGACTCCTCTTTTTTTTCTATCAAGCAGTTTTGTAAGCTTACTTTGGCACTAAAAGTAACAGCATAGCTTTACTTCTGACCATCCTAAGAATGAAGCTTATGTTCATGTCTTTCGCAAATCTCGGGTAATAAATGGAACTTGTATTGGTTGAGTAGTATAAAAGCTCCCATAGTTACTAACAGAAAACTAATACACGAGAAGAAATGAAGCCCCCAGAGATTGTCGAACTGGGATTAGTACAAAATGTTAGATACCTCTAAGGTAGCAGATGCCACAGGGAGAAGGATAACTTTATCTCGGTGGACGTTATCAACAAATGAAATGTATTAAAGGATTGTGTTGTTTTTTTACTTTAAAGACGAGTAACACAAATTCGTTTCTATATAGAGTGGACTTATATAAAACCTACATTACTTATCATTGTTTTACAGAGGATTTTTATCATACTTACTTTTACATTCAAATATTTTCATACAATGGACTATTTCATACTTTGGGATTTTTTTTTGTTTTTTGTCTGCTAAACATCTTCGCAAAAACGTTTAGGATGTTCATTTACAAAGCTTGTTTTTCAGAAATGTAAATAATGTTGCATCACGAGTAACAAGTAATTGACGGTAGTAGTTATATTTTTAGTCCTTGGTTCGAGGCTTGGCAGTTTTTCCACTTTTCCACCCACATTTTAAATTAAGATAAAAGTTGCCAGATACATTCACTTCTATAAAACATATGGAAGAAATTTCAGAACTTCACGACGTTCATTTTAAAACAGTGATAGTTTTGTTTTCATGAGAAGTAAAGCTGAAGTGACAAATAAACTTTATTCGTAAATAATGCAGTGAAAACGAGTACAGCGTAAAATGCTAAGTATTCTCCGTGAAATAAAATAAAGTAGGAGAAAATCAATGTAAATGTATCGTTAGTAGTTAACAAGCTATATAATTTTAAGATCGAATGAACCACTAAAATTAAGTTTGAAAAAGTATTGACAACAGTTGAAATTGCTGTGAATTAAGAATATCGAATAATGTTCAGTATAAGCTTAGTTATAGTATATATACTTCAATGAGGCCAAATTGCATTAACGTATCGTTTGTGTACATCCAACTGTTGAACGTGTTTTCGGCCATAATCCTACGACAGACAGACATTTATTAGATTTATGTTTAGAAACTCGAGAACATAAATTACCTTTACTTTTACTGCTATACAAAACTAAGTTCGCTGGTCGATAATCTTTAAATTTAGAAACTGTATAAACTTAAAAAATTCTACTTTTAGGTTTTGCATGAAAGTGAAATAGATTTGATCAATAACTTTTACTTTTGTAAATACATGGGGAGAATGATTTGAGAAAACGCACGTGATTAAGAGCTTTACTTTTATAGGTGCGGAAAACGTAAATGATCAACAACCAATTTACAACTGTATGAACAGTGAGATGGGTAATAAGTCGTCATTTTCGTTTCTCGCTGTATGGGATTGAAATATATGACCTAACACAATTTATTTCTATAACTACGGAAAATTACGAAAAGTGACAGATAATTTTACCTTTGAAAGTAACTACGAAGTAACAAGGCAGGCTTAAAATCTTTATGGATAAGGCGCTCGACTCACAATCTGAGGGTCGCGGGTTCGAATCCGCATCCCACCAAACATGCTCGCCCTTCATGCCGTGGGGGGGTTCTATTGTAACGGACAATTACACTAGTCTTTATTAGTATACAGG